TCCTCGGGTTTGCCACGGCCTGCCTCGAACTGGGAAGAACGGTGAGGCTTGTTTGGGTTCCGGGTGTGTGAATCTGTATTGCGTGGAGCCACGAGAGCCCCGGTATGAGCCCCGGGGCGAGCGGCCGGGCAGATGGCCCCGGTATCTGCTGGCCCCGCCAAAAACTCTCTGATGGAACACTCGCTTCAAGTGCCGTAAAGGTGCCCATATATGTGCCTAGTTCTTTTACGAAGTTATCCCCAAATAGGAGGGCTTTAGCCTGGGGACCCAGCTCTGAGATAGCTAGGTTTACTAGCTTAAGCTCAATTTTAATTAAGATCGCTTTGCGTCTTTCCGTGGCCACCGCCGTATTAGCGTTGCCCAGGAGACACACGGCACGCTGGATCCACCCTCTGAGGGTTTCCAGGTCCAGCGGTGCACCTCCTGCCAACGCGATTTCGACCATATCGAACATCCTCGCGATTGGTCCAAGGATGTCTAATACCTTATCCTGGCAATTCCGCCAGGCAAAATCCAGGCCCTTCTTGGCCTTCCAGCCTGATTTTCCCAAAAATTGGGTGATTTTTGGGTCCACCTCCGAGGTGGCGCATGCCATATCCGGGACCGTGGGGAGTGGGCATTCTGCCAGCAGCTTGTTTCGCGCCACCTTATCCAGTGGCTTTCTGATGCGGGCAGCGATATATTTCGCTACGTGGTCCAGAGGGCACCACTCGGAGGACCTTGGGTATTGTAGGGTGTCCGGGTCGAACAATGGTTCGCCCTGAGGGTCAACTAAGGCGGAGTCATCAGCTCAGTCCTTGTGGTCCATGTCCGTGCATGTGAATGAGTCATATTCCCGCAATTGATTATCATTAGAATCATCAGAGTCCTCCTCCTTGGATTCGCTCTGTGCCTCCTCTAGCTCCGATTCAGAGTCGGAGGATTCGAGTAGGGCCTTAGCCCTCTTCCATTTCCTCACTGATTTTGCCCGGTGGGGGGCTCTTAGTTGTGGTCTAACCACAGGTTCTGTGAACAGGACGTGCCCTGTCCATCTGTAGGGTTTTGGAGGCATAATCATCTAAATGGTGAGACTTTTTAGCGGCCTTACGCCCACTAGGGGCCACCGGTTTATTTTCTGGGGGGTTAGCCACGGGGTTAGGCGGCAGTTGTGTGGCTCTCATCGCAGTGGTTATGGAATGCGATAAATTATCTGACATGGCACCCATGGCGGTAAATATGGCCTGTGTCACAGACTTCGCCATAGCCGCGTCTAAGAGGGAATGTAACTCCTCTGAGTCCATATGCTCTTGCGCTGTTTCCAACGCTGTGGGCATTTTGGGGCCCTGCAAGGGAGGGGTGGTTATGGTGGCTCTAGGCGTTGTGGCACTATATGCACTGTTCTCAGCCTGCATGTCTGGGGTGGAAAGGACAGTAAATACAGGCAGGCTGGTAAGTATATCCCCTAAATAGGTTATTAGAATGGCTAAACCCCAACTAAAATAGTATCAAACAAACTAGCAGGCACCAGGCACCAAGTGTTTACCAAAGTGCTAACAGAGGTAGACAACAAATAAAAATTGCAGCAAGCTCACCGAGTGTTCCCTCAGGAATAAGCTCCTGGGGAACACCGGGAGACTTGTCCAGCAACAGGGATCAACTCCCGCCCCCAAACGAGTAGTATTGGCCGCGCTAGCAAAAGCGCAGCAAAACTGCCAACCCCAAGATGGCCGCCGCGATGCGCACTTGCGTTGTGCGCATGCGCGGGCGGCCGCAACCGCGATAATAACCGCGGACCGCCGGGACCATGACTGGCAGCGGTACCCATGTGTGGGGAGACCAAGTGGAGGGAATGGGGCAGCAAAACGGTCGGGAAATAAACAAACCGACTGGAGGGGGGAGGGGGGAGGGAGGAAGGGGGGAGAGAGAGGGAATGAAAATACAGGTAGGACAAGACCCAAAGGGAAGAAAACAAGAAGAATATTAACACATCCAAACCCTGTGGGAAAATAACGGATGCAAAGGTAATCTGACTGAAACAGCAAGATATTTAACTGTCAGAAACAGAAGAGGAAAAAATTCTTGTACTTATCTGAGGCTGCAGCAGCAAAAGAAAGAGGAATGGCTTAGGGTCACATGGGACTTTACTGTAAACGGTACACTCTGATTGGTTCTTATGTGGTATTTGGTTAACCCTTTAGGAGTTATGATGTAGTGTTATTGAATTGTTTTCTTTTTTTCATTGAATATATATACAATATTTTCTTTTGCTGCTGAGGAACAAAAGAAAGAGGAAAGCATAATAAGAGCCTAATAAGAGCCTCCATATCCTTTAATAAAATTAATGAATCTCTATGAGGAAACATAAGTGTCTGCATGCAGAGGGAGGAGATACTGAATATTTGGATGCATTTTAGGCAGCCATGACCCAGGAAGGATCTTTAAACAGCTATCTGAGGAGTGGCCAGTGAAGTTATCACTAGGCTATAATTTAAACACTGAATTTTCTCTGAAAATACAGTGTTTACAGCAAAAACCCTGAAGGTAATGATTCTACTCACCAGAACAAATTCAATAAGCTGTAGTTGTTCTGGTTACTATCATGTCCCTTTAAAAAAAGACACATGTGGCTTTCAAGCCTAACTTTCTTGCTCTAGCCCAGGGCTAGAGGGATCCTGCAATCAGTAAATAGGTCCAAAGACTCTGTTGCTGGGATCACTACATATCTGCACAGAACACAAGTTCCAAAAAGTAATAACATATGAAACTTTATTTTACTTGGGACTAGTACATATGATCATTACATATACATTGCAGTGACAACTCATTAAAATAAAAACACTTAAATTCATAGCAGACAACATACAGCAACTTGTCATAACACATTGACATATTTATAAAGGCAATAATTAACAGAAAATATCTCTCCTGCCTGCAGAATTAGTAATATACAAATCTACCAGAATATGCAAATTACCAGCCTTGCTATTCAAGTAGTGCATATTGCTGTTGCTACCAACAGAGGGCACTACACAGGCTCCATAGCCAAATCCACTTAGTTGGAAGCAATCCTCAGCAGTACATGAGAGCAGGCAAAACATTAACAGTATAAACACAATATAAACAATTACATTACACACACCCTGCACCTATAATGGGTGACTATAACATAAGAAAAGTCCAGCAACCTACAAAAATAGTCTGTCTGAATGTCCATGTGTTGGTGACAACCATCACAGCTATATCTTGTTAAGTACCTCAACATCAATAGGTCATACGTTTATTTTAGAATGGGAGATAAACAGGTTAACGGCAATACTCACTGCGTAACCTGTTTGCATTTAAGTCTCCTCAAAGTTATGTTTTCCTGTGGTCACCTCCAATCAGGCTCCTATAGTGAAAGGCTCTCACTAGGAGACATTTATCTAACCAATCAGTGCCCTATACCTAGGAATGCTGGAAAGGCGCATTGTGCATGTGCAACTCTGTGCGAGTTTGAAGATGCCTTCTACTAGTGCCAAGCATGCACAGCCTCCGAGGCTCTGTTACAGAAAGCCTGTCCTATTCCACAGTGTGCTTCCTGCACTAGTTGCCACTGCGATTCTAGCATGCGCAGAGTTGGCTGCAATGATATAACGTCATGATTCACTATAATATACAATATGTATGAGTATAACCTAGAACTCCACATCAAGAAAAGGTTATAGTAATGTGCGGTGCATATATCTCAGAGATCCGCTGTGGATAGTTATAAAATAAAGTCCCATAATGCTCAGTAAGCTTGATTCATTTAAAAAAAATAAAAAAAATTGAAAGATTCAAATTAGGCTGGCTTGCTTAGTTTTATGGGTAGTGTAGTTTATGAAATTGTTTGCCTCACAGCAACTGAATGAATAAAGGAGTAATGGCAGGAGGAATCATATTTTTAATGGCAGTATCCTTGCTTCACTACATTTGATTTTTCTCTGCCATATACTCATTATACCATATTTATGTTTCTGGGCTGCTTGCTCCCACTCTAACACTGTTTGTAGCAAACTACTGGCTGCTATGTGTGCAGAGGCAATTGGGAAACAAGCTCCTCCAACTGTGCAGAACAGCATGCTGTGCCATAGGCTCACACAGAATTTGGTCAGTGTCTGCTCTTTGCCAGAAGGAATTCCTCCTTACCCTTCCTGTAACTACGCAACAGTGACCTGCAAACAGCCACTGACTCTTTGAGCATGGCTGTCAATCATTCCGGCCAAGGTGCCTAACGTCAAGTTCACATTCACTATTTGCAGGTCAGTATAGAGGAAAACTCCTGATTTATTAGCACACCATTCAGGTGATGGGGTAACAGTGTGTAAGTCAGGGGTAGGAAACTTCAGTACTCCAGATGTTTTAGACTATATCTCCCATAATCCTTTAACAGCCACAATGCTGGCAAAGCATCAAGGGAGATGTAGTCCACAGCATCTGGAGTGCCTACCACAAGTGTGGGGGCTGCGTAACTCTAATGCTTTATCTACATCAGGAAGCTGCTTTAAAATTTAGTGGGCTTACTCCCAAAGTCTCCTCTTGAAAGTCATACAATATTCTTTATTATTGTAATGACATTTAATTAAACATATAGCATGTCCTGGTATTTGATTGGTTTTTATGTACGTATGTGCATTACTTTGTTAGAAGATACACTGTGCCCCCTTCTCTACATCTAATATTCCCTTATATATATATGCTTCCCAAACATCTCTTTACAAAAAAAATAAATAAATAAAGTCAGAAAAATTTAACATGTTTATTATGGCCTACAATTTACAAGCTCATTGTCATTTCTCCATCATCCCCATTTTACTTGATAACTCTGAATGTGATATTCCATATCAATCCATGCTTTACAACAAGCCAGCTTACACAGAAATAGGAAGGAACTACTATTGACAAACAAGGGGAAAGTCGAGATCGGATTTCTTATAGCAACCAATGAAAGGATATCTAGAAGCAACCAATCAGTTTACTGCAGATAGGGAGAGAGCATTCCTGTAGTTCTTACTACCTATGAGCTCTCAAAAGGTGTGGTAGCTTCTTGTTTTGAGGATAATGCAGGTCCACAGTGCATAATTTGTACACGGAATGCCTGGTCAATCCTACCGATAACTTGTCTCCTGATCACCTTCATCAAAAATGATGGTCCCACTAACAGCATCCATTTAGGTAAAGTACTATCTTTTTATCTGACAGGATTGGTTATCCACTATACTTACAAGATTATTCACTAAAGTAAGAATTCAAATGACATTCAAGGTGAATTTCAAATTTCAGGCAAAAGTAGACTTAAATTCGGAATTCATTTTAAATTAATTTTGAATTCTCACTTTAGTGAATAACTTTGCAAGTGTAGAGTATTTTATTTTCCATGATATCTTTCTGCCATGTTTAAATGTACCAACATTTTCTTTACGTGAATTTGTTTATATTTTGGGTGTATAGAAGGCCGAACGTTATTTACTGTTCAAAATATTTCAGACACATCTGATAAATATATAATTTGGCACTTTTGATATTGTTCAATTAAACCGAAACAAACCATTCATTAAATAAATGCTATTAAAGTTATAAAGCACCAATCGATTGCGCAGGTCTGCACGAGTTAAAGTTACAGATTTTTCCAAAATGAAAATACAAAAAATTCAAGTATACGTACCATTACAAATTAATATTGCCGATATAACAAAGCTTAAAGAATGAAAAGATTTTAATTATTATAAATGTATTTTGTTCTTTCCAAATTGACTCACGCACTGCATTTTTCTGATTAAAATAAAAACAAAAAACAAACCACGAGCACTGCACTCGCTTCCCCACCTTACTTGCTTGCCTGGTTGCTAAAACACAGACCAGTAGATAGACGAAATTGGACCGTACTATTTTTTTAAGTATAAGAGCTGAACAATACTTTGTTCAGAAACAAGTTTCTTACATGTCCAGGCTAATCACTGCACACTGTGATGATTGCAAAGAACAAGTCTAAGCATGTCAGATTTATTGCAAAGCTCGAGGCTTCACTTTGCAAGTTCAGACATGTTAAGGTTTCAATCCAAACTATATCCTTACCAAGATACCACTCTGGGTACTTTAAATAATGATTTACATATGGAATTTAAATGATTTTCTCTGAAAATATACAAGACTAAGAAGCGTGTGAATTGTATTACATTCTGCAAGAAGGTTTTCTGTCTATTTTTTTTACTATTTTAAGTGTTCTTTACCTTGTGGATTCTTTAAAATCAGTCTCATTATTAAACTAAGTACAGCACAGGTAAGGATGTATAATATTTATCACTTTGCCAGTTTGCCATTACATTACATTAAAGCGACATTATCATAAAAATACAATACTATAACAATAGTTAATAAGTTATATTTTATTTAAAGTGATGCTGTTAAAATGCAGAGTACTGTTGCTCTGTGTATCAGTTAGATACCTGTAGGGTTAAATACCAAAAGTGTGAATTCTTCACAACTGACCAAGGAATTAGATTTTTTCTTTCATTTACTTATAACATCATAACTCCCAACATTTCGGATGGACATAAAAGGACACTTTAATTCTAGTGCTGTAAGTGGGGCTGTGGCCAGGGGCGGGCTGGTCTGAGAAATTTTAGGTGACTTACTAGTAACATTTTATGAAACTAAAATGTAATTTAGAACAAGAACAATGTATCTTATTTACACAGACTGGTTCCTAAACACATTTATTGTAGTTGAAATACATTAAAGGACCACTATAGTGCCAGGAAAACATACTCAGGGCACTATAGTGCCCTGAGGGTGCCCCCACCCTTTAGGGTCCCCCTCCCGCCGGGCTCTGGGGGGAGGAAGGGGTTAAACTCACCTCTTTTTCCAGCGCCGGGCAGGGAGCTCTCCTCCTTCTCTCCTCCTCTTCGGCTGAATGCGCATGCGTGGCAGGAGCTGCGCGCACATTCAGGCAGTCCATAGGAAAGCATTCAAAATGCTTTTCTATGGACGCTGGCATCTTCTCACTGTGAAAATCACAGTGAGAAGTGCGGAAGCCCTCTAGCGGGTGTCAATAAGACAGCCACTAGAGGCTGGATTAACCCATTTATAAACTGTTTATAGAAAAAAGGGTTAAACCTAGCTAGACCAGGCACCCAGACCACCTCATTAAGCTGAAGGCGTCTGGGTGCCTATAGTGGTCCTTTAAAGCGAGTATTATTGATGTGGAGCTCTGTTATTCACTCAGACACATCAACAATATGCAGCTCCTAGCAAAAAAAGGATATTTATATAGAAAATAAGGACAGTGGGATTTGGGAACTAAATATGGATTCAGGGGAGGAGGTAGCAGTGTGTCGGGGCTGTTTAAAGCTAGTGCTTTATCTGCAACCGACAGCTGATTTGAGATTTAGTGGGCTTAATTCCAAAGTCTCTTCTTGAAAGTCATGAGACTGTTCTTTATTATTTCAATGACATTCTATTAAATATTGTACATGTTCTGTTACTTGATTGTTTTTATGTATGTATGTGCATTACTTCATTGGAACTCTGGTGATCACTGTGAACAACCACATTCACAACATGGTACGGCTGCAGTCAGATTCATGAGCAGTTCCACTCACACTGGGGTAATGTCTGAGGGACATTTGTTACCCTTTGTGTATGTGGAAAACATTGTTATATCAAACCAGCTATTGTTTTTTTTTGTGTGACAATTTTTATTGTTTATTTTCAGGGTACAGAAGAGAAGGGGAGGGTTATAGGGGGAAAATAATTCACACAGTGATCCAGAACATTCTATAGACATGTTTTATACCCCATGTTTAGCAGATGGGTTTCAGATTTTTATGTAAGGGGTATAGCAATATACACATTCCCAGTTCCAGTTTAGCGTATAACCATTAGGGTTAACATGTAAGGTTGGCTGTTGGGGACATTTTGGGCTGGTTGTGAGCAGTGTGGTGGTGCGTGTAGGCCTTTTTCAGTGCCCCTGAGGGTATCTTAGTGATAACAGGTATGCTGGGGTGATGTTGACTGGATACTTGAGGTGCAAGTGTAGTATTGTAATGGGGGGAGGAGAGAAAAGGGGGGGGAGGTGTGGTTCCTCATCTTGCTGATGGTGTCTTGTTACAGTGCCAATGTACACTTGTCTACAGTATCCATGTGTCAGTGCATATTGGCAAACCAAACTAGCTAGTTTTAAGGCTTTCTTTTCAATAGCAATGCATGTTACTGCTTTTATAATAACACATTGACATTATACTATCATTAACAGCGGCACCATTTATAAATAAGATGCTAGGTTAAGGTTGGGATTCTAAAGAAGGTTAGGGCAAAGTTATGATTAGGGGAAGAGGTGAAGAGGCAGAGAGGGGGCCTATAACAAAAGGGCTAGGGGGACTTGACTTATATTGGGGGAGTTTGTGCTGTATATTAGGGGAGTTTGTGCTGTATATTGGGGGGTCTGTGCTTTATATTGGGCTTAGATTTTTCCCATTCAGAGTAGGTTTGAATAAAAGGTTGGAGATTGACTGTATTTAAAAGGAGTCCTGGTCTTGGGGTTCCCAGTTGCCTCCCCAGGAAATTACCCTTGAATTTTTTTCTTGTATATATGTTTTTTTTTTTTTTTACGTTTGCCTTATCTGGGGTGAAATATGAATTATATATGGCACAACATGGATTGGTAGTAAAATATTGAATTATGTGTATATGAAATTATGGGGTGAAATGACATGAACTTGGAAGACGAATGCAAATTTTGACTTTTTCTCCCATGACTCTGACTGATATGTTGCAGTGTATTTCTTATTTATCATTCTACTGACTGCCATAGCTAGTGTCATCCAGGGCCACCCAGGTAGTTAGACACAGAAAGTGATTTAACCCCTTAAGGACACATGACATGTGTGACATGTCATGATTCCCTTTTATTCCAGAAGTTTGGTCCTTAAGGGGTTAAAGTATAGATATGTCTCTGCTATCAGCTGTGGTTCTATAATAGCTGGCAATACGTCTGCTGTATCAGGGGCTGCCTGCCAATAATAAGCAGAAATACATGTGATTTTATGCTTCAATAGCGTGTAATCCTTAAAACTATTCTGTTATCTCTGAGTAATAGCTCACCATTGCTATGTGTTAAATTACTGCCTTTACTACAGACACTGCGCTTTAATTGCTTCCAAAGGATGGTTGCCGCTGTTCTATCAAAAAACCCTACCCCGTGAAAATTCCCTACCCTCGTCACTTCCGGTGACGTGGCCGCACCGGAAGTGACTAGGAAAAGCTCTAGGACGGGGGGGAGCGCCGCCACGCAAGCGCACAACTACTAGGTAGGGAAATTTCACATTGAGCAGGGGAAAATAACGGCACAGTGCGCACGCGCGGCACAGTACTCCCATCGGAGTACCCCAGCCAGAGGGACTGCCCCACATCTGCAACCAAATCCGTCGGTCACCGAATTCAGTAATCTCTGTCTCTTTGTCCATTCTGTATGTATGGTACTCCCAATTCTTTTATTTAATCCGGTGTGTCTCCCACAATCTTTGTGTCTGTCTGCTGTATGTATGTGGCACGCAAGTCTGCATGCACTGTGTCTGTTATGCCATTTACTCTAACCAGTTTTTCTTTAGTTTTTTTGTGTGTGTCACAACTCTGACAAGCATGTTCTCCTACGGGACACAAAGTACATGAAGAGGAATGAAGAAGCCCATGTTTGATACTCGTCTCCAGGGTGGAGTATTGAATTTATAAGTACTGAAGTGGCATCTGGCACGTGACAAGCTGCTCCTGTTTGCACAGCGACTTCAACATTGTGTACTGTGATCACGGCTTAGTTCAGAGGTAGGTAACCTTGGGCAGTCCAGTTGCTGTGAATTACACCTCCCATAATGCTGCAAAGCATTATGGAAGGTGTAATCCAAAACATCTGGAATACCGAATGCGTATGAATGAAAAGTATGGTGTGTGTGAATGGTCAGTAACAAGGGTTGAAGCCTTGACGTGACGTTACTGCTCACATGTGTATCCATGTGCCAATTCAACCAATGTGAGTGACTGTAATACTTATGAGGTAACCATAAATACCGTGACTATGGAGAATTAAATGCCTGTATCACCTAAACACTGCTTATACTGTGACCGTATCTCCTAAACACTGCGGCCGCACAGGGCGCCATGGAGCAGGGGGCGCCGTGCGGCTGACACAGCTCACACATGGCTGGCCGGCATCTAAAAAAGAAAATTTGCGGCGGGGGCAGAGCTAAAGGTGCCAGATAACTGCTGCAGGGGAAGCAGGAAGGAGTGGGGGGGGCGCTGTGATGATTTTTGGCACATGGCGCCTAAAGGCCTAAGGCCGGCCCTGCTCTGTTGCATTAGACCCAATTCTGAGATTATGACCGAACCCTAAAGCACTTAAAATGTTTATGATATTTTATTTATGTATTTTGAATGTTGTGCAAAGACGCCAGATGGTCACTGTTCCACTTCTATTCCAGTGGCCATGAAGGGCAGGTGAAGGTAGTTTTTACTTGACTTAAAATGTCCTTTGTATGCATCTTCTTTCTCAATGTCCTCTTCAGCTCCTGGAGCGTTAATCTGCCAGGAGCCAACGGAAGCGCTCTACTCAAGTGTATGCATTAGCTCTGTCTTTTGTCAAAAGTAGAAAAAATACTTAAGATAAAGTTGTTCCTGTGGGCGTCGCAGAGATGCTTTAAGTCAAAATTGAAAGCGCTCTATCATTCTTTCTATTGTACGCCTCTAATCCTCTACATGGAAATTGTAGTTTGTAAAAATAGAAAATATGTAGATTGTAATATGCTTTCTGGTTACGTTCTGGTGAGTTTTAACTTAATTTTCGATTTTTACAGCTCCCAAGGGAAGGAGCAAACCGCCTTGAGGAGTCCCTGCATAAGAGACTATTGGATACAGAAGGCTGTACTAAAGGAAGATCTCATCACAGCATCATCCAAGCCCTAGTCAGGAGTATATGAGGCCTCTTTAGAGTAAAGAGCGGCTAACAATATCTGATAATAGGCCACATGTGCAATTATTATGTATATAATTAATGTACAACATACTTTTTCACTTTTTTGTTACATTAGAGATTAACAAATATTGTTAGAGTTTTTGTTTACTGCTGCCTTAAAAAAAATAATATTAAAACTCCAAACATTTTTGAAATGTGCAGTGAAATGTGTATCTGTAATCAACGTTAACCTGCTAATTATTGTGGGACAATGGAGAGCAACCCCAAACTGGTACTCTATCAAACAATCCAGGACTGTTAGGAAATATAGCTTTGTATCAAACTATGATAATTTATGGTGCACATAGGTCCTCTTGTCACTGTGCCTATGGAAAGTTTTGCTTATAACTGTGATGACTTTTAAAAGATAGCAATACGCAGAGTAAGAAGTTGCTCTTTAAAGGGACACTATAGGCACCAAGACCACTTAATCTCGTTGAAGTGGTTTGGGTGCAGTGCCTATGTCCCCTTAACCCTGCAATGTGAAATATTGCAGTTTCTGAGGAACTGCAATAATTACCTTGCAAGGTTATCTCATCCTCTATTGTCTGTCTGCCAGACAGGCACTAGAGGCGCTTCAGGTCCTTAGCGGAGACCAACTACGTGAAATGACACTGGACATCCTCACGCTTTGCATGAGGATAACCAGTGTCTTTAAAAACGCTATAGAAAAGCCTTGAGTTAATGCTTTCCGATGTGGAAACCCAAATTTGTGCGCAGAGAGCCCCCCAATATAATGCGCAGACCCCCCAATATTCTGCACAGACCCCCCAATATACAGTACAGACCTCCCCAATATACTACGCAGACCCCCCAAAATACTACGCAGACTCCCAATATACAGCACAGACCCCCCAATATACTACGCAGACCCCCAATATACAGCACAGACCCCCCAATATACAGCACAGACCCCCAATATACAGCACACACCCCACCAATATAATGTGCAGAAACCCCCCAATATACTGCGCAGACACCACCCCATATACTATGCAGACCCCCCATATACTGCGCAGCATATACTGTGCAGACCCCAATATACTGCAGACCCCCAATATACTGCACAGAAACCCCCAATATACTCGAGACCCCCATATAGCCCCCAATAGGAAACCCCATATACTGTACAGAAACCCCCTATACTGCACAGAAACCCCCATATACTGTACAGAAACCCCCATATACTGCACAGAAACCCCACCATATACTGTACAGAAACCCCCATATATTGCACAAAACCCCATATACTGCACAGAAACCCCCATATACTGTACAGAAACCCCCATATACTGCACATATACTGTACAAACCCCATATACTGTAGAAACCCCCATATACTGTACAGAAACCCCATATACTGTACAAAACCCCCCCATATACTGAACAGTATACTGTACAGAAACCCCCCCATATACTGTACAAAACCCCCCCATATACTGAACAGTATACTGTACAGAAACCCCCCCATATACTGTACAGAAACCCCCATATACTGTACAGGAACCCCTCCATATACTGTACAGAAACCCCTACCGTCCCAATATACTGCACCCTCCCCTCGGATAGCTTAGAGTGTTGGGAGCAGGGAGAGACTGACCTGTTTCCAGACAGGATTTCATCCGATGGTGTGAGTCCGCGCGTGCGCAGTATAGGGGTAGGGAGATTTCACAGGACAAATGACCAACAAATTTCCCTACCCCTATACTGTGAACGCGCGGTGTGGGGTAGGGAGATGGGATGGACGTAAAGCGCTCCCTGCCCACTAGTGCGCACACGCGCTGTACCTCCGACGGGAGTACTGTGCCGTTATTTTCCCCTGCTTGATGTGAAATTTCCCTACTTAGTAATTGTGCACTTGCGCGGCGGCACACCCCCCCGTCCTAGAGCTGTTCCTCGTCACTTCCGGAAGTGACGAGGGTAGGGAATTTTCACGGGGTAGGGTTTTTTGATAGAACACCGTAACCCCTTTTTCATGAACATTTTATAAGAACAGGGCACTAGGGCAGTGTTCACCATTTCATATTTTTGCATTCTTTTCAAATGCTCTCTAACCTAAAATGAAAGTCTGACATACCTACAGGTACAAAAGTGAAAACTAAAATGTTTAACTAACTGAAATGCGTGTGTCATACCTGGCAGCCCTCATGGGTGCGGCTGAACCAGTATGCTTTCTTACATATGCTCCTTAAGCAAATTAAAAAAAAAAAATACATTGATTTCCTTCTACCATCCAACTTCCCTGAAGACCTTTAGTGATAAACAACTTACCACCTCATGAGGACTGTATTCGCTTAAATATTGGAATTTACCTTCCCGAAGTGTCTTGTTGACAGGCCTATGAAAGGATGAGAAATGAATACCAGTGTAGCATACCTTCTCACATAGTGCCCATCCATTTTAGATACACCCTTGAGTATGTATAGGTTTAGTACCTATGTCACATCGAGATCATTTTCTGAAGGCATTCACTGCACCTTGACAAAATATTCATATATGGATGACTAATGCAAGATAAACATAAAACACCTAACAACTCTGACATATTCAGCCTTTTGCTAGATACGTTGAAGACCCAAAACAACTTGACATAAATCTTAAAAATAATAGGCCCAACCTTTTTTTTTCTTAACAAGAGAAACTAAAAATGACCTACCTTGTGTGCGCTAATTTCCATATCGATACTGAATACTGTTTACATGAAAATCTCAATCAAGAAGAATCGAAAGGGAGAACCAAATATTTATTTCTTACTGTTTGGTGCGGGGGTGACAAAATAATTTTCTGCCCCTGTGTCATATAACCTAGGTATATCTCTGCCTTGCACCTATTATTTTCACACAAATACACATTTGTTAAACTTAACATAATATTAAGAATCGGTTTATATTTTACTCCCTCTTTGCCTTTATTTATCTTTTTTTCCCTTAAATATTAGACTCATATAAACTTACAGGGTTATTTACTAAAGTGAGAATTCAATGTGAATTTCAAATTCAAACTAAAACTAACTAAACTGGAAACATTCTCTGTCTTAGATTTTAAATTCTATTTGAATTCTCACGTTAGTGAATAACTGACAGTCTTTTATATCCTGATAGCTTTCTCAAGAAACTCCCACGAATCTGCAATTTAGGGCCTCGATTTACTATTTAACGGATAAGCTTTTCAAATATTATTTATTTAATATTTCTGGATACGCTTTTAAAATGATGTAATAGTATTGATATATTTTTTTCATATATATTATACATTTTGATTGTTTAATATTTCGAAAAAATATTTTAACATTTTATTCAAAAATATAATAAATTATTTGAAAAGGTTTAGCCAAAAATATTAATTTAGAGGATCTAGGTTCTTTACAAATACTGATATGCAGATTATTTGGACATTTTTTTTAAAATTTATTTACACCTACTGCAGGTGACCTAAAATGTATTTCTACTTCTGTGGTAATATTTCAATCTCTGAGGTAAAGTTGGATAGGCACACGTTAATAATAGCAACCATGTTTCCACTTAGAGGTGACCAAACTCCAACAGTGGTAAACAATAAAGAAATGGATTGGGCAGAGGTCGAAAGTGCAGCGGATTTATTGGCGCAAGAGCAACGATGTTTCTGCTCCTAACTTAGGCTTTATCACGCTTGATAAAGATAAATTGTCTGACAGGAGCCAAAATGTTGCTATTCTTCGTCCAATAAATCTACCTGCACTTAAGATACGTGCCCAGTGTTTTCTTTAATATTTCAAGCTCTTTCTAAAATACTGCAAGAAAAAGCATTCTACATCTAAAAGAGGAATTGTCACTTCTCAGCATTTTCCATATATCATTTACTAATCCTGATAATTAACAAATATACTTGTGTAAACTGTGCAAAATGAAATTAAATGTAGAATTCCACACCTCTTATTCCTGTTACTGAGTGTCTCCATCTTAGCTCCCTGTCAATCATTGTTATAAATGCTATACATACAGCTTGCAATCAGCATAGAGAAAGCATACAGAGAAGAGATGAAATGAAACAATGTTTCTATTTCCACTCATCATCTGCAATGTTTGCATTGGCTTTTCCTTGTCTTAACGGAATTATGTAATTTTCTAAATCTTTAGTAGCGATGTTAAAGAAAATGGAGTATCTAGTGAAACAAAACCTAGCATAAATTGCAGATGATATTCAATGGTATAAATTCCAGAGATGCTACAGTTCCCCTTTAAATGTTTTTTATTCCATCAATATTCTGTATAGAATAAATAAATTAATCCAATTGGACCAGACTGGGGAAAATTTTTTCCCTTGTCCCGGGATTTTTTTAAATTCCCAAAAAAATCGGAAAGCCGTGTAATCACTAATACAAGCTTGTACTCCCTAAAGTGATCATGCTGGTTTATTACTCTTCCATGGCAGCCCAAGCTCAAAGCCCTGCTAAAGAGCTCTCCCATGAGAAAAAAGATGTTCTGCGCAGAACAAGCTAATTTAATAACATGCTTGTGCCTTGTTTGCTTGTAACTTGTCTCTGGTCTTTCTATAAGTGGGATACCAGAGGTGAAAAGGGCCAGATCTGCTGTGTGTGTTAGGGATCCAGTGTGTGTATAAGGCATTCAGTGTCTATAGGGGTTATAGTGTGTGAGTAGGGGTGTAATGTGTGAATGCCTATAGTGACTGTAGTGTGTGTAGGAAGGTGAGATGTGAGTAAATCAATAAAAAAAAAAAAGGATATGTACATACATATATATGTAGGAATGTATGGGAAGAGATATGCAAATGATTGTTGCAAAACTTGCAGAAAAATTGTGATTGGATGACTCAAGACAAGGTGATCTAGCAACTTAAGAAAGATAATGTAAACAAATCTTTGAGGCCTGATGGTATTCACCCACGAGTACTTAATAAGCTCAATGTGTAAAAAAGTGAACGCCTGCTTTTAATCTTTCAGGATTAATTTCTTTAATTTTCCCTATATTTAAAAAGAGTTAAAAGTCTGCCTAGAAATTATAGATCTGTTAGCTTAACATCTGGGGCTGGGAAAGTATTTGAAGCATTTGTAAGGGATAATATTCAGGAATGCACTGAGAAGAACATTGTTATTATCAAAAAATGGTTTTCTAAAACATAAATCATGTCAAACTAACTTAATTCCATTATTTGAAGAAGTATGTAGAAGTACAGATCTGGGTGTTGCAGTGGATGTGATCTACTTGGATTTTGCCAAGGCGTTCCATACGATTCCACACACTACGTAAGTGTTCAAACTAAAAGAAATTGGTCTAAATAAAAATTATTTTTCTTGGATCGAACATTGGATTAAAGACAGAGTACAGAGAGTTGTCATTAATGGTAACTTATCAAGCTGGACAAAAGTAGTAAGTGGGGTCCCTCAGGGTTTAGTTCTGGGACCGCTTATGTATAACAGATTTAAAAATGATCTTGAAATAGGCATTGAAAGTCATCTTTCGGTGTTTGCAGATAACAAATAACTCTGTGTGTGTGTGTGTGTATGTATCTATATATATATATATAAACATATATATATATATATGTATATATATATATATAGATACATACACACACACACACACATACACTGCTGTGTGTGCTGTTAGTGTGATGTGTCTGTGAGGGTGCTGTTAGTGTGATGTGAGGGTATTTGTGTGTGTGTGTGTGTTTGTGACTGTGCTGTTTGTGTGTGAGGGTGTTTGTGTGTGTATGTTTGTCCTGTGAGGGTGCTGTTTGTGTGAGTGTCGTGTATTTGTGAGGGTGCTGTTTGTGTGTGAGGGTGCTGTTAGTGTGCTGTGTGTGAGGGTGTTGTGTTTTTTTTTAAGGTGCTGTGTGTGTTTGTGAGGGTGCGGTTAGTGTACTGTGTGTGTGTGAGCTGTATGTGTGTAGGTGCTGTATGTGTGTGTGCTGTATGTTTGGAGGGATTTGGCAGATTAGTAAATCCTTGCTGCCATGTGCCATCCCTGGTGGTCCAGTGGAGAGTGAACTCTAGCCTGCGGGGTTAGAGTTAACTCTCGCGAGATCTGAGCGTTGCTGCAGCTTCTGTCTAGAGCTCCCTGGGTCCTCTCCTGCCTCCCTCCATGCTGCTGTGGGCCGGTGAGGTAGATCACGCCGGCTCTGTGTGTGTGTGTGTGTGTATATATATATTTATATATATATGCGTACACACACACACTCACAGACACACACACACATACATACACTCACAGACACACACACATTCACACAGACACACACTCACACACACACATACACAGACAGACACACACTCACAGACACACATTCACACACACACACAGACACACAGAGACACACTCACACACAGACACACTCACACACATTCACAGACACACATTCACAGACACACAGACACACTCACACAGACACACATTCACAGACACACACACTCACACACACACACACACACACACACACACACAGACATACACACACACACACACACACTCACAGACACACACACACACACACACACACAGACATACTCACACACAGAAACACACACACACTCACACACTCACAGACACACAAACACACACTCACAGACACACACACACAAACACACAGACACACACTCACAGACACACATAAACACACAGACACACACACAGACATACTCACACACAGACACACACTCACAGACACACACAAACACACACACACTTACACACAGACACACACACACACAGACACACACACAGACATACTCACACACAGACACACACACACACACACACACACATGAACAAATTATTATATTTTAATAAAAAACAATGTCCACCCAGCCTCCTACCTGGAGTGCTGGCGTGGACTTTTCCCTGGGGTGCAGTGGGACGGGCGCCTCTCTCCAGCTCAGCCGCGGCGAGGGAGCTGTGTGCTGTCTGCTCCCTCGCCGCGGCTGAGCTGGAGAGCGGGGGGGGGGGAATCCATCACCACTTGCCCCCCCATGACAGGAGCAAGAGGTGAGTGGGGTGCTGAGTGCCTGCAGGAACAGCGTTCCTGCTAAAAAAAAAGTGCAGGAACACTGTTCCTGCAGGACTCAAACCATAGGTGTGCCACGGGGATTAGGGTGTGCCCAGGCACACCCAGCACACCCCGTGCGCACGCCTATGCTGTGTAGTAATACAATGTGAGAAGGATATTACTTCACTGCAGATCAATTTAGATTGGGGGACTGGGCACTCAAATGGTAGATGACATTTAATGTAGATAAATGCAAAGCTATGCACTTGGGGGTAAAAGAATGCACAAGCAACTTACACCCTAAATTGTAGTGAATTAGGGATAACAACACATGAGAACAATTTGGGAATTGTTATAGACAACATACTAGCTAGCAATGTGCAATGTCAATTGGCAGTTACTAAGGCCAGTAAGGTATTGTCTGTATAAAAAGAGACATTAATTCTCAGGATGAAAATAGAAATCAACAGCAAGTCCACACCTTGATTATCCTGTGCAATTTTGGGCACCTGTTCTAAAGAAGGATATAATGGCACTAGAAAAAGTGCAGAGGCGGGGTACAAAATTTATAAAAGGAATGGAATATTTTAGTTATTAAGAAAGTTTAACAAATGTAAATCTGTTTAGTTTATAAAAGCAGTATATAGTTATACAAATATATTGGAAGCCAATACAAACCAATGTCTGGAAATCTATTGATAAACAGGACTAAACATAGGACATGAGGTCACGCATTTAGACTGGAAGAAAGGAGATCTAAGTCAAAGGAAAGCTTTTTTTATTCCAGGAAGAACTATAGGGATACTCCTGGTTCCATCTTCTCTCCTACAGTAAAGTGCATTGGGCCAGTGAGGGAGATCTTTGATCGACTTGATGGCCGATAAAGGCACATTTGCCTGCTTTGCCTGTTTACCAGAATCCAACATTAAAATTGCAGATATAATGAACAGCAATATATGGGCAAAATTGCTGCTTTGTACTCAGGGCCGGCCTTAGGCAATTAGGCGCCCTGTGCAAAAAGTCTTCACGGCGCCCCCCCCACCTCCCACCAAGTTGCCTGAATACAGTAACACACACAGGCACCGGGGACGTGTGTATCACGAGGCAAACAAGGCATCTGCCTTGGGCGCCACTTTGCAGGGGGCGGCAAAAAAAAGCATCCCTCCAAACCCCCAGGCAGATCCCTTGCTTGCCTCGCATCCTGGGGGGCTCAAGAGCTGACCGGCTGGCCACTTTTGAGCCCCCCCAAGGCTGGCAGCGGGCAGCGAAGGAGCATACTCACCTGAGCTCTTCCTGCTCAGCTTCCTCTGCGCCGCTTAATGAAGCCGGGAGCCAGAATATGACGTCAGTCCGGCTCCCGGCATCACTAAGCGCTGCTTACTCAGCCTGTGCGCCCCCTGCCTGCCTGCCCAGCAGCCACACTGGACTGCTGGTAAGAAATCCACTCCAGCTTTCCCAGGGAGGCTGGGTGGATTTAAAATAAATGTAAAAAATATTAGTTTGTGAGTGTTAGTGGAAATGTCTGTGTGTGTGTCTGTGAGTGTTTATTTTGAAGTGAATGTGTGTGTGTGTGTGTGTCTGTAAGTGTGTAATTGTGTGTGTCTGTAAGTGAATGTGTGTGTGTCTGTGAGTGAATGTGTGTGTTGGTCAGTGAGTGTATATGTGTCAGTCAGTGAGTGTGTATGTGTCAGTCAGTGAGTGTGTATGTGTCGTCAGTGAGTGTGTATGTGTCGTCAGTGAGTGTGCGTCTGTCAGTGAGTGAGCGTCTGTCAGTCAAAGTGCGGCCTTGACAGGAAGGGGTGGGGGAAATTTAAACTCGGTTACAGGCATGTACACACACACTCAGTTAAAGGCAGTCACACATACAGGCACAGGCACAAACAATGGCACAGCTACAGCGACACACACAGACAGACAGTCACATAGGCAGTCACACACACAGACAGACACACAGTAACACACACATAGACAGTTATACACACACAGGCAGGCAGTCACACAGATAGAAAGTCACACACACAGGCAGGCAGTCACACACAGACAGTTACAGACAGACACACACAGGCAGGCAGGCAGTCACATACAGGCAGTCACACACACAGGCAGTCACACACACAGTCACAGACAGACAGTCACACAGACAGACAGTCACACAGGGCAGTCACACACACGGACAGTCACACAGACAGACAGTCACACAGACAGACAGTCACACACACAGGCAGTCACATACATGGGCAGTCACACAGACAGTCACACAGACAGACAGTCACACACACAGACAGTCACACACAGGCAGGCAGTCACACACAGAGACAGTCACACACACACACAGAGACACAGTCACACACACACACACACACAAGGACAGGCAGTCACACAGACAGACAGTCACACACACACACAGACAGACAGTCACACAAACAGGCAAACAGTCACACACACACACTTACCTCTTTCCAGTGGATGCAGTTGGCTGATGGGGAAGCATCTTTCCCTCTTCCTGTACAGCAGGGGCTTCGGGAGGTATTAGCCCCGTCTCCGCCTCTCGATAAGCCCCGCCTCCGCCGCTCGGTAAACCCCGCCCCCTCTGCCGCGATTTTTTTTTTTTTTTTAAATAGACCTTTTAGCTCCCCTGCACTCCGGCCATGAGTGAGCTGTGTCGGCCACAGGGCGCCCCCTGTTCCATGGCGCCCTGTGCGGTCGCACAGCTCGCACACCCCTAAGGCCGGCCCTGTTTGTACTTCAACAAAAAAAGAACTTGCTATTGAAGGGGTTAAAGTAAAATATCTATTTTGTTCAATATTATCAATAATGTAAACCAAAGATTTTAATTTGCCAGATGTTGTCATGAGAAACGTATCAAATAAAAGAAATTTAATTTTGTAACTTTCATTTTGAGCATGTATCTCTGACACTGAAAGTGTAAAAATGTTTATTCTTACTATGTAAGCAGTGCAGGTCCTGAACCTCAATTGTCATGCCCAGGGTGTGGGTTACGATGGAAATGTATAGGACAGTACTTTTAAAGTATCACATTATAGATGAGCTAGGTCATTATTAATCTATCTTTCAAATGGGTGTGAACAGATACCTGGGATTCGTGCATTGTGGATGTAAAGATTAAAAGAACTGTTACTTTTTTTAGACTTGTAGCTCAGGAAAAGAATGTACTGGTCACAGCAAAACATTTTTTTTCTGATCATATCACAATCTATAGATTTTCTTTTCACCTACATTAAAAAACAAAGCTGTATATAAAAATGCTGTATAGATTCCAAAATGAAATATGTACAACATAGCAGCCCTCCAAATTATTCCAATTAGGGTCCTGCCCAACCATCCCAGATTTGTTCCCTGTTGTTCCGCTTTTGGGGACACCAGTGAACTGTCCCCATTTGTATCATTAGATGAGCTTGCAATATGATAAGGGCGCTAGGACTCTGCAGAGATAACTGCAATGGTGTTCAATGCATGGCCAATTCACATCATCAAATTCATGCAGTGCATGAAGATTGCATTGATTGGATTGAATTTAATTCAATTCTTGGCTAATATTACAATTTCTCCTTTTACCAACTTTAACCTTATTATGTCCATCAATATATTTAACTTTTGGAAATAATTTTATATCCAGATTTAGTAATTCCCTTTACATTGTCTCCTTTTTCTGATTCCTAATCTGACAAAATATGTTCTGAAAACATGCTAGAGAAACATGCTCCAATATTTGCAAGTTCATTATAAGCAAGAGGTACACATAACAATCTTATCTATAGCATTGGACAGATTTTTCATCACATTATGAATTAAGTTATTAACTGTGTTGGTTAAAGAAACCTCTGACAACATTTGTATATGTTTATTAGTGAATATGTTACATTAAAGATGTAAAAGCTATTAATAGCATAAAATGTGGCAAAAAAATCCCTAAACAAACCAAAAATGCAGTCTTCATTACAGTGATCAAATAGCAAGTACATTTTATAATAAATATGAATACATAATAATAAAAAAACACTACAAATAGAATGTATCGTAAAATGTATAAATTAATCGAATATTTAGAAACCCGAACATCACATATAAAACTGACTATAAAAAAAATATTAATTTTAGATATTTAGCTTTTTATAGAGTAAAGTAGATGGGGATGCTGTGACAAAGATCTATATAGCGCAAGTTGATGCTGGATTGGCTGTTGTATGTTCTATTTTTCACATTTTAAAATTATTTTTTTCTCCATAGTGTCATTTTCTTTGAGAGAAATATATTTTTAATGAATTAGGTAGATGCTTTAAAAATACAGATACTTTAATTATGTACAGTTTAAAAAAAAAATGCATGGCTTCATATGCACTTCAACCAGGAGGTGTCTGAGAGCCCAAAGCTGAGTCATTGCTTCTCTTTGAAACTAATGAGAGAAGAACTGTCTATGCATTGTTGAGATATCAGAAGTACATGCTAGAATGCTATGCTGTGCACACTATGATACATGCATGTATAATGTACAGATTAGGATTGAGAAGATAGGAAATAACACACGTGACCTCTATACTGTGCATTAATGTTTACTTTTATATTTGTCTCCCCACAGGGTTAGCAAAGTCAAGAACCCCTTCATTACAGAGGATCAATCACTCTGTTACAGCAACAACAGTTTATATGGTACATTTACAAGTGGCATTATCTGAATATCTGTCAATCACATGGCAACCCTTCGTTCTTTCTAGTGAAGCCTACCAGGAGGAACAGAAGGATGTGCAGGAGTGACTGGAACACCAACAGGCTGCACAAGGATTGCTGTAATGGCAGACTGCAACTAAATAATGGATGCAGAGACAGCAAGAGTGCATCTGAGAATCGAAAATTCTATGGCCATTTTCTTGACATTGTACCAATAATCTCCAGTTAATATATACAAAATAGTCCCCACCTTGCATCCCCGGTATAGTTCCTTCAATTTATCTCCGACTGCCTTTTCCTCAATTCACATTTTCCCAGAATTATGCATCTTTTTTTTTTAGCTATATTTCTCCAGTATATCTGTCCAAACCATATGTCATCATGTTCCCCCAATGCATATGTGCCAATTGTATTCCCCATGTATTAATTCATATACAATGTTCCTCCAGTTCTTCTACTCTCATCTCTACCAATACCGTTTGTTACATTCCTGGTTAATATCTCTCTATATATCCCTCTCCAGAGCATCTCTCCCAGCCACACCACTTCCCAGTAATTCCTCCCGGTCATACCCCACAGTACATCACCCCGCATTGGCGGATCCGGGGGGGGGGGGGCAACGGGGCAATTGCCCCCCCGAGATTCCCCCCTGCCGGCTAATGCAGGCTGGCTGCCTGCGCTGTGCCTCTGCAATGCCTACAGGGACCGGGGAGGAAGATCAGAGCTCTCCCTCCCCGATCCGCAGGCACCGTGCTGACAGCCGGCGGCGGAGGGAGGGAGTGAGAGAGAGGACCCGGAGCTCAGTCTGCAGCTCCTCCGGGTCCTCCTCTCTCGAGATTTGGAGCGTTGCCGCGGTTACCACGGCAACGCTCCAAATCTCGCGAGAGTGAACTCTAGCCCTGGAGCGCGGGCTAGAGCTCACTCTCCCCACTGGGACCACCAATGAATCCCCACCGGACCACCAGGCACCAAGAAATGTCCCCCCTCCACCCCAGTAAAGGTAAGAAGGGAGGGGGGACATAGAATATTTATTTTTATTAAATAATTTTTTTTTTTATTATTTAAAAGCCTCCTCCCCCCCCCATACACACACTGCCCCCCATTACACAAACTGCCCACCCATTACATACACTGCCCCACAAACACTGTCCCCATACACACACACTGCCCCCCATACACACACTGCCCCCCAAACACTGTCCCCATACACACACACTGCCCCCCATACACACACTGCCCCCAAACACTGTCCCTATACACACACTGCCCCACAAACACTGTCCCCATACACACACAGCCTCCATTACACACAGTGCCCCCATTACATACACTGCCCCCATATCACACACACTGCCCCACAAACACTGTCCCCATACACACACTGCCCCACAAACACTGTCCCCATACACACACTGCCCCACACACACACTGTCCCTCTTATACACACACACACACTGCCCCACACACACTCCCTCGGTCCCTATGTATACACACTGACCCCCCATACACACACACTGCCCCACACAAACTGTACCCATACACACACTGCACCACAAACACTGTCCCCATACACACACTGCTCCCCATACACTGTCCCCATACACACACACACTGTCCCCATACACACACTGCCCCCCATACACACACTGCCCACAAACACTATCCCCATACACACACTGCCCCCATACACACACTGCCCCACAAACACTGTCCCCATACACACACTGCCCCACAAACACTGTCCCCATACACACACTGCCCCACAAACACTGTCCCCACAAACACTGTCCCCACACACTGCCCAAAAACACATACAGTGCCCCCATACATACACTGCCCCCTAACACACACACTACAACCCTGACATACACTGCCGCACTCACACACTTCACCCTTAACACACACCACTGCTCCTATACCCTATATCCCAGCAGACCCCAGATAAGTTGTCAAACTGTTCTTAAACGGTATGACTACTTACTCTGGGGTGGAATCCTGGCACTACTGACACCATAACTACTACACTGAGCTGTAGTGGTTATTGTGCTTGGATTATTTAATTAAATAATCTACAAGTGCCCCTCCCGAGATCAGGCTCTGGATCCGCCACTGTCACCCCGAGCCACATTCCTCCTCAGTACACCTTCCCCAACCACATTGCTTCCCAGTCTCCCTCTGCAGTACATCTTGTCCCAGCCACATTCCTCCCCAGTGCATCTTTTCCCAGGCAGATTCCCCTAGTCCATCTTCTCCCAACCACATAACTCCCTAGGTGAACACATCTCAATAACATAACTCCCTAGTAAAGCCCCCACATTCTTCCCAGAATAACAGTGAAGTACATCTCCCTTTGTACTCCTAATAAATTTGCCCATATGCCCCTAGCAGATCTATACACATCACCAATTCATCTCCCCACTCCTTTTCAGCACATGTCCCTCCATATACCAGTACATCTCCTCCAGTCACACACTTATACAGCTTTTTGTATCTGCAATCAAGTTATTGTCACGGCTAACATGATACTAAATAGTATTTTGGCATAACTTTGCTGCAATGGTGTTTTTGTATTTTATTGTACCCTATTGAATCAATGCAATGTTTTGTGGACCCAGGACATACTTGAAAACAAGATAAATCTCAATGTATTTTTCCTGGTAAAATATTTTATAAATAAATAAATAAATAATGTCATTTTTATCAGACTCTTGTAAATATTTCTTGTAAATTGATTTCAGGACACTTATGGGAAGAAAAAAAAAAGTCTAATACGATCCGGAAGGAATACCTCAAAAATAAACAGTACAACAGCACTTACAGAAACCACTAAAAAGACAGAAATGCACCTTTAGCTGAACAAGTTCCAGCCAAAAGAATACACATAAAGTGGATTAATGGGGTACTAAAAAGGGCCTAACCCTTATATTAACCAATACACAGAAACAAAGAGAGGAGACAATATCCCTGAAACACAGGAAACAAGTCCCCTCAATTCTAATACCCCTTCTGGAGCAATATATTTGCCCACTACCATGTATTACAAAAAATAATAAAGTTTTATTTAAGATCATTAAAATCTCATGTATAAATTCTATAATACATCAAAGTATTATGGCTAAGAGTGAGAGAACATATTGTCTCCTCTCTTTGTTTCTGTGAAACCACTAAAAGTTAACAAACATCTGCTTTAAATAATTCACATCTACCATAATGTCTCTTTGCATGCAACTTATACAACTGTGTAAAATTACCTTCATCGTTTTACTCTTTAGTTGACTCTCTCTGACCAAATTTGTTTTGACTTGTTCATTTTACATTAAGTCCATCAACGATCCTACCTTGAACTTCAGTGTCTCATTTTAAAGATAGCAATTATAAAACAACACTTACACCCTCATGGCTTTCTGAAACACAAATTCCACAAACATTCTGTATATAATACTGTTGTCCAGAATGTCACTGTTCGCATTCCACAGGTAAATAGTACCTGCATGGAACTCTTTCAATAACCCACTAATTTATCATTATTGATGTTATAGTTGATTAGTTAATGAACATGTATTATTTTAAGTTAGGGATCTACAGTATCTCACAAAGTGAGTACACCCCTCTCACATTTTTGTAAATATTTTATTATATCTTTTCATGTGAAAACACTGAAGAAATGACACTCTGCTACAATGTAAAGTAGTAAGTGTACAGCCTGTATAACAGTGTAAATTTGCTGTCCCCTCAAAATAACTCAACACACCGCTATTAATGTCTAAACCGTTGGCAACAAAAGTGAGTACACCCCTAAGTGGAAATGTCATAATTGGGCCCAATTAGCCATTTTCCCTCCCAGTCTCATGTCACTCGTTAGTGTGACAAGGTCTCAGGTGGGAATGGGGAGCAGGTTGTAAGTTTGGTGTTATCACTCTCACACTCACTCATACTGGTCATTGGAAGTTCAACATGGCACCTCATGGCAAAGAACTCTATGAGGATCTGAAAAAAATAATTGTTTCTCTACATAAAGATGGCATAAGCCATGCATGGGCAACCTTTGGCACTCCAGATGGTTTGGACTACACCTCCCATGATGCTTTGCCAGCCTTATGGGTGTAAGAGCTTTATTAGTGATGTAGTCCACAACATCTGGAGTGCCGAAGGCTGCCTACCCCTGGCCTAGGCTATAAGAAGATTGCCAAGACCCTGAAACTGAGCTGCAGCACGGTGGGCAAGACCATACAGATGTTTCACAGGATAGGTTCCACTCAGAACAGCCATGGTCGACCAAAGAACTTGAGTGCACGTGCTCAGTGTCATATGCAGAGGTTGTCTTTGGGAAATAGACGTATGAGTGCTGCCAGCATTATTGCAGAGGTTGAGGGGGTGGGGGGTCAGCCTGTCAGTGCTCAGACCATACGCCGCACACTGCATTAAATTGGTCTGGATGGCTTTCATCCCAGAAGGAAGCCTCTTCTAATTTTGATGCACAAGAAAGCCCGCAAACAGTTTGCTGAAGATAAGCAGACTAAGGACATAGATTACTGGAACCATGTCCTGTGGTCCGATGAGAGCAAGATAAACTTATTTGGTTCAAATGGTGTCAAGCATGTGTGACGGCAACCAGGTGAGGAGTACAAAGACAAGTGTGTCTTGCCTACAGTCAAGCGTGGTGGTGGGAGTGTCGTGGTCTGGGCCTGCATGAGTGCTCCCGGGATCTGTGGGGTATCCTCAAACGGAAGGTGGGGGAGCGCAAGGTCTCTAACATCCACCAGCTCTGTGACGTCGTCATGGAGGAGTGTAAGAGGACTCCAGTGGCAATCTCTGAAGCTCTAATGGTTAAGGCAATGCTGGAAAATAATGGTGGCCACACAAAATATTGACATTTTGGGCCCAATTTGGACATTTCCACTTAGGGGTGTACTCACTTTTGCTGCCAACGGTTTAGACATTAATGGCTATGTGTTGAGTTATTTTGAGGGGACAGCAAATTTACACTGTTATACAGGCTGTACACTTACTACTTTACATTGTAGCAGAGTGTCATTTCTTCAGTGTTTTCACATGAAAAGATAAATTAAAATATTTACAAAAATGTAAGGGATGTGCTCACTTTTGTGACATACTGTATATAACTTCTCTCTAAGAAACACATCATGTAATAAACATATATATATATTTTTGGTAATGATATAGTTTGTGTCTGAAGTCTGAATATACAATGACAATGGGAGAGACCTGTAATTATTATTATTATTTTTTTTTTTTTTAATGTATTCGAAGTTCTGTCCTCCTTCATACAAACCACAATCTGCTCTAACACAAGTGAATGTATTACTTAGGATAGTGCCTTGTATCTTCATTTTTGGTCCTTAACTCATGGGCTTTAACTGTAATTTGCAGTTATTAGCCATTATTTACTTACACAGCACATTTTCATGTTTATCATTGTACAGCTACTGTTATTGTGGTATGATCATTGTCCTGGTCTACTATAGATATTGAACTTAGAAAATTAATGTACACCATGGTATTTTTTCAGGTCACATTTCTGGTAATCAGTCTGTGTTTGAAAAGCAGTAGAGGTGAGATATGGCTATCAGTTAAATACAGGGCCGTCTTTAATAACGAATGGACCCTGGGCAAGTGTTTGCTTGGGCCCCCTGTGCCCTGCCGCTCTCGCCCCTCACTCCCTGGTATGCAATCACGGCATCCATCCCAACGCAGTGGCGGTACTAAAGTAGAATGAATTTTATTGGGACCCCAATTGCAAGGTTGGACTAAAGGTAGAACCCCATCTGTCGTGCAACTCCAACAATGCTTTGACAGCTGGGACTCTACCAATTTCCCATGCTTGCATGGTTGTATTTAGCACTGAGCCATGTTAGAATGTTTGAATGTAAGCATGTGTTTGTATGGAGTATGTTTGTGTGAATGTGTTTGTATGTGGTAGTGTAGTTTGAATGCAAGTGTGCATTTATGTGTAGTGTTTGTTTTTGAATGTAGGAGTGTGCTTGTATGTAGTGTTGACGTTTCAATGCAGGAGTGTGTTTTATATGTAGTGTTGAAGTTTGAATGGAGGGGTGTATTTGTATTAAAAGTTGCGGCTCAGATGCACAGGTACACACTCTGACGCACAAGCAGATACACAGATACATACACTGACTACATACAGATAAACAGGCACATACACTGACAGACACACTGACACAGGTACATATATTGACACACACACAGACACATACACTGGTAGACGTACTGACAGACATACTGACACAGGCACATATACAGACATACTGACACACAGACACATATACCGACATACTGACACACACACATACACTGATCAACATACTGACACATATACACTGACAGAAATACTGACACCCACACACTGACAGATATACTGACACCCACACACTGACAGATATACTGACACCCACATACACTGAGAAATACTGACACACACACACAGGCACATACACTGACACACACAGACTGATATACTGACACACACACACACAGACATACTGGCACACAGACAGATATACCGACACATGCATACACATGCACTAACAGACATACTGACGCACTGACAGACATACTGACACACACAGATATATACTGACACACAGACAGACAGACATACTGACACACACACAGACATGCTGACACACACACACATACACTAACACACACATACACCAACACACATACACCAACACACATACACTAACACACACATAAACACACACTAACACACACACACCCAACACACATACACTAACACACATACACTAACACACATACACCAACACACACACACACACACACCAACAACACACATAAACACACAACACACACATACACTAACACACACAAACACACACATACATACACTAACACACACATACACTAACACACAAACACTAACACTAACACACAAACACTAACACACACATACACACACACACACTAACACACACATACACACACACACACACAAACACACACACAAACACATACACTAACACACAAACACACACACATAACACACACACACACATACATACACTAACACACACACACACATACACACAACACACATTTTTTTTTTTAAATGTAATCCCCCCAGCCTCCTTACCTTTTGGAGTGCTGGGGGGATTCCCTGGGGTCCAGTGGTGCTGCTGGGCTCCTGGGCGGGTGGCCGGTCGGGCAGGAAGGCGGGCGCGCGAGGGAGCACTTACTGCTTCCTCTTCAGCTCCCTCGCGCGCCGCGTAGGGATGCCGGCGCCGGAAGATGACGTCATCTTCCGGCTCCGGCATCAGTGCGGTGCGCGAGGGAGCTGAAGAGGAAGCAGTGAGTGCTTCCTCGCGCGCCCGCCGGGGTCAGCGGGGCCCACGGGGCAGGTGCCTCGGGCCCCCCAAGAGAAACTGGGCCCGGGGCAGCTGCCCCGTTTGCCCCGCGTTAAAGACGGCCCTGGTTAAATATGTTTTCTTGGGCTTTAAGTGAATGTACAAAGACATCCATTCTATCCCAATTATCACTGTAATAACTCAAATTTGTGTCCAAAGGTTCCATGTTGTGAGAAGGTTTCCTCATGCTCCTTACAATGTAGAACACAATGGTATATCTTTAGGAAAAACATTCAGCACCCCACTCATTCCCACCCCAAAAAACTGTTCTATCTATCTTTAAAGAATTATATTCTCTCTCTGTTTTTTTTAAAACTTTAATTATAATGCGTTATTGGGAACTATTCATTAGGTCCCTTCTGAATATTGCAAACAAAACTGCAAATAAAGTTTTTCCTTATTTGGAATTTAGCGCTGGGCTAAGCTGCCTTTCACACCTCTTCTTACGTCACCAAGGGCCTCGTACAGTCCAATCAAATGATTCTCAGAATATGCTTTGGTGATGAGTGGACAGCAGAGAGAAGAGAGAGGGGATGGTCAAAATAAATGAATGAAATGAGCACTGATATAACTGGGGTTAGAGTGATCAAATGAAGAAGGGAAAGAGATGTTGGCACACTCAGAGCTGATGACAGACGTAATTTTTGCACAGGATTAACATTAGGCTTCCTAATTCGCATGTGCTGGGGGTGTACCAAGCCCCATCACGAAAGTGATTATATCTCTGTATGTGCAGTGTTTTTAGCAGAAATGCTGCTTTTACTGTCCCCTACCAACATAACCACTTCCTAAAGCAGAAGTGGTCATGATGGTTGCAGCAACTCTTTAAGTGTTCTTTATTTGGAAAATTTGAGATTTCTACATATTTTTGGTTGCAATTTACAATCACATAAAGGAAATTTGGGATACACCAAGATTCTCACAGCACTGCATTTTGGTGTCAAATGCTATGCTGGACAATTCTACTAACAAACAATTATTTATTCGTAGCACTACATCAAGAGTCACGATTCATGCTGGGTCACCATGCGAGCTTACAGCAACTACTTGATGGACTGGCCTTCTTATGCAACCACTTCTTGTAATAAGGCTACAGAGAAGTGGAAAATATGCATTTATTAACTTCAGTATTTTATTAGAGAATACCTGTCACCTGAAAATTTTTATATTTTCTACAAAACACAAACTATTATTTGTTTATTATTTATTGATATAATGTGTTTACTGTTTGGAAATAATTCTAGCAATCTCTAATATATTTTAATAATAAAACATTGTTGTCTCATCTCCCAATGCTATAGCTTAGTGTTATTGCTTAAGGCAGATTTATTTTAATTAGAAATAATTTGACTGATGCCACTCTCACTAGACTCAGCCCGGATCAGTCATATTATATCAAAACAGTATTTGTAAAGAGAAATTCTTATAATCAGCTGATCGCGCTCGTTTTCTGCCCAGCATGAACTTCCTTGTTTCTTTGTTTGCTATTGGCCAATCAGCCAATCTATTGCTTCTCATAAAGAAGCACTGGATGTCAATCAGCCCAAGAACAAGTCTGCAGGGAGCAGCAAGATATAGGGAAGGATTAGGCGGTGCATGAGAGCCACATGCATGAAGCACAGGCAGCTTTTACTTGTAGACACACTCACAAAACAGCACCTGCAATCACAAAAGCTGTGTGTTAGTTGCCAGCACACTGTGCAAGCTGACGATGAACACAAAAGTTGTTCAAAACTGACATTCTTTTACTGGGGTGACTTATACCAGCAGAAACATTAAAATATCTGCATTGGCAGTGTTTCAAGAAGAATGGCTAGTCATAAAGAGTTCTTACACCATAACCACTTCAACGAGCAGAAGTGGTTATGGTGCTATGACTAATCCATATCATTGAATTCGTTATAGTGCCTGCTGTCTTCTGGTTCTATTCATCGATTCATCGATAATCCATTTTGACTAGTTTAACACTAAATGAGGATCTGGAGATGACACTATTCCTTAGTAATTCCAACTCATACCAGCAATGGGTATCCATGATAGTCTGAAAAGCTGACACTCAGCCAATCACTTCCGTTCATTGCTGCTCAGGATAATGCTTTCAGATAATGCTACACACCGCACAGATCGCATTGGCTAACATGAACTTTCACTTAGCATTAAACCATTAGATCTATATAAGACAAAAGGTGCAATCTTAAATGAAGTGATAAGATAGTAGTGGTGCCTAAAGACCGAACCACCTTTAATGGTTCTAAATATAATACATGAAAGAAATGTGTATACAATATACGCTGCCTTTGGTGCAAATAAGCAAAGTGCTAAATGTGCAAACACAACCCAGTGTGGAATAGTGTAATCTGGTGTTACTTGTAATGGATTGATATAGATATAAATGTTGACTGGGGTACGATAACAATATATGAGGAGGTAAAAATAAAAAAGAGAAAAACTTATAGTGTAGTACTTAATACAAACAAAAGATAATGCATATGGCAAAACTGACACTCACAAGATAAATATGCACAAGGTGAATATGTGCACTATAAACATTGCCCACTTTGGGGCCACTTTTCTCTGGCACAGTTCATAGTGAGGCCCCAGCAATTCCTTACATGTCAATCCCCTCTCTGGAATAGAATCGGAGCAAATGATAAACAGGGTTTATTTTTTATTTTTACTTCCTCATATATTGTTATCATACCTGTGACATTTATATCTATTTCAAACCATCACAGGTAACACCAGATTGTACTATTCCATCCTGGGTTGTGTGTGCACAATTAGCACTTTGATTATTTGCGCCAAAGGCACAGTATATTGTATAGACATTTCTTTCATGTCTTAAACCATTCGATGTCAGTGAATGAAAGGATAGCACTATGGGACACTATTACCACTTTGTTGAGATGTTTACAGTGCCTACAGTGTTCCTTGAACATATCAACATGTCATTGACTTAAATGAAAGAACATGTCATGCAAGTCACCCAATTAGTAGAGGCAGGGCTGCCAGCAGGGCATGACAACCATGACATTACCTCTGTGTACATATATATATAGTAATTAACACTATTTTTATGTGCTGCAGGCACCCTGCTACCTGTATTCTGCAGGGGGCCCAGCACACTCGAAATATCCTTCTGAGCTGGTCTGCTCTGTCTAAGTCTTGTGAGTGCCGCGATTGTCAGAGCGTTGTTACAGGTTACCATGGCAAGGCTCCGCACAGCTCGCGAGACTTAGACAGAGCAAAGCAGCTGGGAAGTATATTTTGAGTGTGCTGGGCCCCCTGAATACAGGTAGCCGCAGAACCTTCAGTCAATGTGATCTCCCCCCTTTATGGCCATAGTTAAGATGCAGGGACAGGGGAATAAAACATTACAATTAATGGAAAAGAAAAAATACTGTTTGCTTCCTCCTCCCCACATTATGCAGCCCCATACATTTACACACACTATACACTAACATTTACACACACTTCATCCTTACACAAACACACACTATGCAGTCACAATACACGCACTACATCCTTACACAAACACACTCGGAAGTCACTACACACACTACATTCTTACACAAACACACACTTTTCATTCACTACATACACTACATCTACTACACAAACACACACTCTGCCTTCATTACACACACTACATCTTTACACAAACACACACTCTGCAGTCACTACACACACTACACAAACACACTCTGCAGTCACTACACACACTTCATCCTTACACAAACACAATATGCAGTCACTATACACACACTACATCCTTACACAAACACACACTATGTAGTCACTATACACACACTACATCCACTACACAGAGACACACTCTGCATTCACTATGCACTCATACTACATCTACACACACTGTATTCACTATACAAACACTACATCCACTACACACACTCTGCATTTACTACACACACACTACATTCACTACACAAACACACACTCTGCATTCACTATACACACCACATTTAATACACACAAACACTACATCCACTACAGAAATACACACACACTCTTAATTCATTATACACACACACTACATCCACTGCACAAACACACACTCTGCATCTAATACACAAAAAACACTACATCCAGTACACAAACACACACTAATACACCTCTATACTAAGCCTGCAGACACTGAACGCTCCCCGTACAGATGCATTAACTCAAAACATCTCTATGAAGATGCACATTTTTTGTTACTTGTGCAAAAGCAGTTTTTTCATTTGTGCAAAAACCTTGCAATGCTTGCCAATGGGAAAGCACTGGATTGGCTGAGATCATCCAGACTAATGATCTCAGCCATGGAGGTGAAGCCAGCTGCAGCCATTCTGAGGAGGTAGGGAGTCAGCTAAACAACTCCAGCACTATACTGTTTCTTTAATTTATGAATTCCCATATCAGTCCTTGTTGTTTCCACATTTAGTCAAATTGTTGCATGTTGCCAGATAAAAGAGTTTATTCACCAAACTGGAAATTAACAGGTGACAAAGTAACAATAAATTTAAAGGGTAACAATAACAGTGGAAAAGGAATAAATTCTAATCGAAATGGTGAATTTTAGTCAATAAACCCCATAGTGTACTTTTTTTCACATCCCTGTTTCCAGGTCAGCTACAATGGCTATCATTTTTCCTTGTCATCAACTATCAATGTGTTCATGATGCACATCTTATAATAAAGGGAAAGCCTTGTGTGTGTTTAGGATTTCCACTTATTTTCTGTTTCGCTTAAACTGGTCCATCCAGTCTGGTTAATTTTAATAGGCTTGGGAGATTTAAATCACCTGATCTGTAATTATAATGAAACATTATTTCTCATTGTCTTCCTTTCAACATTAACATCTATTGTATTTTTACAAGTGATAAATAAATCACACTTGTGTCTTAAAGAAACACACTCATTTAAATATATTGCAAACTATAAGAACTGTAATGTGTGGTATATAAGAAAAAAATAAAAGAAAACATATTTTTTGTTTTGTTTTAGATTTTTTTTAATAACCACATTTTTACTTTTTTTTTAATAAATAAAAAAAATATATAAGAAAAATTTATAAAAATAAATGAAAAAAGCAGTAATGAAAAAAGTATAAAACTAAAGTACAAAAATATTTTTTCTTATATACCACACCATTCCAATACTTATAGTTTGCAGTGTATTTTAAATATATTTTAATTCATCCAAGATCTTCATTGATTGTATAAGTCATTGATTGTATAAGTATACACTAAATAGGGAATTGCGCACCATATTTATATATTATATATTTATATCTGTGTGTATTGTGCATGTAACTGCATCAGCATGCGGAATGGTGCCAGATTTCTGATCAACGCATCTCGCCCTTCATTATTCGTACCCCTAAGGTGCTTAGAGAATTGTTCATCCCAGAGTCCACTGCAGCAGAGAGGTGCACCGAAGGGGATCATAACCCCTGTGGCCCCAGGCGGTTTCCAACTACAAGTGATGAACTATGTGCACGTGTTCCTAGAGAAGGAGAAAAGACTGTTAAAAAACAGACAGGTGAGCATAAAGAAAAAAATATCATATAAATAATGTCTGTCTTAAGGCTAAGAGGGCAGGAAAAAAAGACTGGGTAACTAGGGTTATGGGGGATCCCATGATACGTTGGTTTTAATTGATTTTGCTTTCCTGTTTGCTGGAGGGAGGAGCTAACTCATTAGTCAGGGAGACCGCCACTAGAGGCTGGATTAACCCTCAATGAAACATATCAGTTTCTCTGAAACTACTATGTTTTCAGCTGCAGGGTTAAAACTAGAGGGACCTGGCAGCCAGACCACTTAATTGAGCTGAAGTGGTCTGGGTGCCTATAGGGGTCCTTTAATTTAGAGTACTCTACAGAATAGGCTTATCCATAGGGTGACCATAGGCCCAGGGGTTAGACAAGGGCACCAAAACCACAAATTCCCTTGGCCTTGTTCACCCCCACCTGCCTCGAGTTCTGTGGCTCTTAGTCCTCACCCCATGCTGTATTTACTCTGTACTCACAACAACACTCTTGCACACACTGGTATACACCCACCACTACTGTTTAATAAACTCCAAATTTTGGGCTCTAAAGGGTTATGTTATAAACTATTAAAAATAGAAGGTAGTAGTTCTCTCAAAATTCCAGAAGACTTAAAACAAGCATGTCAGCAGGACTCACTGACAGACAGACACACATGCAGACACACACATACAGACACACTGACAGACACGCACACACACACATACAGACACACTGACAGACACGCACACATACTCACTGACAGACACATACATACTCACTGAGACACACATACTCACTGACAGACACAAACACACACTCACTGACAGACACACACACACACAGACACACATACTCACTGACAGACACACACCGACACATACTCACTGACAGACACACACACACACACATACATATTCACTGACAGACACACACAGACACACGTACTCATTGACAGACACACACACAGACACATACTCACTGACACACACAGACACATACTCACTGACACACACACACATTATTTAATTTATTATTCTCTACCTTTGGGAGCTGGTGTGGGCATCTTCTGTCTGGAGATCTCCTTCCTGCTCCTCACTGCTCTCTCGCGCGGTTTGGTGATGCTGTGCCCCGGAATATGATGTCATATTCTGTGCCCGGCTTCACTACAGACGGGGTGCGTGGGAGCAGGAACACTGAGCTCCCTCGCTGGTCCTCCTCCCTGGCCGAGTAAGTGTTAGTAGAGTAGGCACCTGCAAGATAGGGAAAGCAGGTGCCTACTCTGCTATAACACCAGCATGTACTTGCGGCTCAAGTACATGCTTGCACTAGAGGCTTGATTAACCCTGCAATGTAAACATAGCAGTTTCTCTGAAACTGCTATGTTTACATGTGAAGGGTTAAATCTGGGGGACCTGGCACTCAGACCACTTCATTGAGCTGAAGTGGTCTGGCTGACTATAGTGTCCCTTTAAATGCTGCCATGATTATCCAGGAAAGAAGGATATTGCAGAACTAGAAAAAAAAATCTCAATTAAATTATTCAGCATTCTTATTGGCTGATTATTTTGATTATACCTCTATTATACCTTGTACAGGCCTCAATTTAATATTTTTTTCTTTTAAATAATCTAATTTAACCTAAAATATAACCAAATGTTTTTTGCTAAACTTTTATCAAATTTAAAATGTAAATATTTCAAAATATATTTAAAAATATATATGTATATATATATATATATATATATATAACTCCCTTGCACCCTCTCTCTGGTGCTGGAAAGGTAAAAAGCCCTTGTAGCACTAACCAGATTCCAAAACCGATGTTCTTTGACGCTGGATCGGCAAGGGGGGTCAGATGGGGGCTAATGAACATTTGCGGCAACGCCATGAGCGCATTAGGCATGCAGAACATGAGAACATCCAGCGTCAGTTAGGCAACCTAAAGTCCAGAATCCAGTGTGGATTCCTATTCACAAGTGCTGGAATGAAGTGATCTGAGATCACTTCCTCTATGTGCTGCAATGTGTAAATTGAGGATTGTCTTTCACCACCTTTTTGTATTAGCAGATACAATGAAGGAAATAAGTATTTAATCCCCTGCTGATTTTGAAGTTTGCGCACTGACAAAGAAATAATCAGTCTATAATTTTAATGGTAGGTGTATTTTAACAGTAAGAGACAGAAAAAAAGAAATCCAGAAAAACACATGTCAAAAAAGTTATAAATTGATTTCCATGTCAATGAGTGAAATAAGTATTTGATTCCCCCCCCGCCCCCCCGACTTAGTACTTGGTGGCAAAACCCTTGTTGGCAATCACAGCGAAAGCATGCGATCAGACGTTTCTTGTAGTTGGCCACCAGGTTTGCACACATCTCAGGAAGGATTTTCTCCCACTCCTCTTTGCTGATATTCTCCAAATCATTATGGTTTCGAGGTTTCCACAGGAGGGAGAGGGAGAGGGAGAGGGAGAGGGAGAGAGACCAGCACTACATGGGGGGAAAAAAAGGTGAGTAAAAACACACATACACACACATACCATGACAGACACACACCATGACACAGACAGACCGTGACACAGACACACACACACACCATGACACAGACAGAAACACACACACTGTGACACAGACAGAAACACAGACACACCATGACAGACACACACACCATGACAGAGACACACACACACCATGACAGAGACATACACACATACCATGACAGAGACATACACACATACCATGACAGACACACACACATACCATGACAGACACACACCTTAAAAAAGACACACACACACACACACACCTTGACACACACACACACCATAACACAGACAGACTGTGACACAGACACACACACACACAGTGACACAGACACAGATTACATGACACAGACAGACATACGCACCATGACACACAGACACACACACACCACGACACAGAGAGACCATGACACAGACACACACACACACACCGTGACACAGACAGACACACATTACATGACACAGACAGACACACACACCATGACATACAGACACACCATGACAAACACACACACACCATGACACAGACAGACCGTGACACAGACAGACAAACACACACAATGACACAGACACACATTGCATGACACAGACAGACGCACACAACATGACAGACAGAGACACAGACACACACAATGACACAGACACACATTGCATGACACAGACAGACACACACACCATGACACACACACACCATGACAGACAGAGACACACACACTGACACAGACACACACACTATGACACAGACAGACACACACCATGACACAGACAGACACACCATGACAGACACACACACAAATGACACAGACACACACATACACTCATACTGACACACATTATTGCTACCTACGTGCTGGCATGGGGAGCTCTGATGGCGGCCGCATGCGGGAGCTGGCTCTTCTGGTGGCCGCAGGGGGATCAGAGCTCCGTCTGCGGCCGCAGGTGAGCCAGCTGCCTGCCCGGCCCCAGGTGCCGATGGCCCACCGGAAAATTTCCCGGTATCCCGGTGGGCCAGTCCGGCCCTGGAGGTATTCACCCAAGATTTGATGGTACGTGGCCCCGTCCATCATCCCTTTTGATGCGGTGCATTTGTCCTGTCCCCTTAGCAGAAAAAAAAACCCCCAAAGCATAATGTTTCCATCTCCATGTTTGACGGCGGGGTTGGTATTCTTGGGGTCATAGGCAGCATTCCTACTCCTCCAAACATGGCGAGTTGAGTTGATGCCAACAAGCTCGATTTTGGTCTCAACTGATCACAATGCTTTCAACCAGGTCTCCTTTGAATCATTCAGATGTTCATTGGCAAATTTCAGACGGGCCTGTACATGTGCTTTCTTGAGCAGGAGGACCTTGCGGGCGCTGCAGGATTTCAGTCCTTCACAGCATAGTGTGTTACCAATTGTTTCCTTGGTGACTATGGTCCCATCTCCCTTGAGATCATTAACAAGATCCTCACTGAAACTCCACAAGGTGAGATCTTGCATGGAGCACCAGACCAAGGTAGATTGACCGTTACTTTGTGTTTCTTCCATTTGCGAATAATCGCACCAACTGTTGTCACCGTATCCCATTCCAGCCTTGTGTAGGTCTACAATCTTGTCCCTGACATCCTTGGACAGCTCTTTGGTCTTGGCCATGGAGGATAGTTTGGAATTTGATTGATTGATTGATTGCTTCTGTGAATCTTAAAAGAGTGCTCCTAATCTCAGCTCCTTACCTGTATAAAAGACACATGGGAGCCAGAAATCTTGCTGATTGATAGGGGATCAAATACTTATTTCACTGTGAATAAAGGTGAGTTTTTCTATTGAATCTTGGTGTTGCTTGCCTCCTTCTCTCTTCAGCAGAAAGAAAGAGAGAAAGTAAGGAAACTAAATAGTAGCTACAGTATAAAGGATTGTGGTGGGAGGGATTTAGTTTCTTATCTGTGAGTTATCGTGTTTCCAGTTAAAAGAAAAGCTTGCATTTTGTAAGGACAAGGAATACTGAGTGAGATCAACTGCATATGTTATAGTAGGAAAGGTGATATTATGAAGAATAGTTCATAGAAAATAGAGGTGGATAAAACATGTAAAATAATTTACATCCAGAAATGTACGTAATCTTATCTGTGCATGATAGAGAGGAAGCTAAAGATAGGATATTATATGTCCAGATGAGGAGCAGCAATCTAGAAAACAGTACCATTGGCATTGTCCTTTGGCTGACTCATCTGTTATGTCCGGGGAGTCAAATACATAAAGAAACTCAATTGGACCCAACCCTTCTGCAGCAATAACACAGTGTAATGCAATCTGTTTGCATGAGTACTGATCAATACAATATACATAATGTAACAGAATAGTCATTTGAATTCCTTTACTGAGCATAGACAGGATAAACAACCTTTGTCATTACAGACAGGTTGGTTCCCCAAGTTCTGTGCCACCCTTCACACTGTTTCATTTCAATTAATTTTATTTTATTTTTTGCTCCTGGACCATTTCAGCTCATTGCAATGTGCCTGTCCTCTTAACCCTGCAATGTTAATTATTGCAGTTTCTGATTGCAGGGTTAAGACTGCCTCTATTGGCTTTTAATCAGAGGCACTTCCTGCTTGTTAGGTGACTTTTGGTAAAATCCCATAGGAAAGCATTGCAGCTATTGTGGGAATTTACTATGTGCCTTAGCGCCCCCTGTTGGGAGACTTCTGAGGAGGCAGAGCAGTGAACATCAGCGCTGGGATCAGGTAAGGTTTAATAACCCTTATTATTTCCAAATGTTTCAATATTGTTAGAAGGTGTTTTTTTTCCAAATGATTTATCTACAGAAGTCAGCATTAAGTATATGGGAGGTTCTGTAGCAAAATCATTTGGAAAGTGTTTCAAACAGTATTGCATCCTGGCCTAAGTGTTACATTTTCTCAGGAATTTTTCAGTACAGAGTGTATAGCAAACATTCAGGATTCTTTTTTTTTTTTTTTTAATTAAGAAGGGTTTAGTGCAAAGGTAACACAACATCACAGAAGTATTAAAGGCATATGTTAGCTGGCAACATTATAATAGTACAGAAACTTCTAACAGCGGCTGGTATAAAGTGAATATAAAGAATAGTGCATAACAGAGTGGGTATAAATATCAAATCTAGTTGAGAACCAATATTATCTGGTAATTGGCATGCTAAATACGATACAGTGCTATGTATACTATGATTTCAGATAGTAGTGGTCAGTGTACAAAACCTAGTAAATAGTATCAGCAATCATGTAGCCACAGAGGTGAGGAAAATTAAAGGGGCAGTCAACTGGAATGCAGCATACATCATCTAAAGCAGGCTTCCACAAACTCCGGCCCTCCAGATGTTGATGAACTACAACTCCCATGATTCTCAGCCTATCTATTTCATTCATAGAATCATGGGAGTTGTAGTTCAGCAACATCTGGAGGGCCGGAGTTTGGGGAAGCCTGATCTAAAGTCTAGTAGACAACAGCAAAGTAAATAAGAAATAAAACCTAGCAAAACAGGTGAGGCATAGATTCATCCCCTCTCCCCCCCACCCCCTCTTAGAACACACACAGGAGGACAATAAAACTGTAAAATCCTAGACTTTTGTAGTATCACCATCTTAGCTATAACTTTGGGTGAGAGCAGGCTTGACATAAATCCAAAGTGAGAGCCCTCTATGGCACATCATCATGGTTAATAGCATGCAGGCTACATCCAGCACACCACCAACACAAAAGAACATCACTGTCAAGCAGCTCTCAAGTCCCGTCAGGCTGCACTACAGGCTCCCAGAAGGCCCAGCATTCCCTACATGGTCCATGAAACACCACAGCACAGGCAGATCCCCCTCAAGGTCCCAAGAGTCCTTGCCACGCCTCTCTCCATGCAGGCCACTCAGTTGCTCCAGGCATCATCCGGTCCCACAGTCACTGGTCCACCGGGGACCAAGGCAAGTCAGGGCTATCTTTTACTATTATTATTCTATTTTTCTAAATAATGTAGGTAACAGAGTCAACTAGCTATTTCTGGGGAGAGAGCTTCAATTATTTCTCTATACATGTGCTAAGGCTTTTTTATGGAACCTTCTCATTAGCATGTGAAAGTTATCAATGTTTCTGGTGTATCTTCTATCAAATGGTAATTTGTCAATGGTAAATGCTTTTTCCATTTGTGTTCCTGCTGAGTTGCACGATTTGGTAAACAGCAAAATAGAGTAACATTTCATCAATGCCAATATGTTCTACTCATGCTAGCTATTAAGCACAAAATCTATACTAATGGATGTTATTACTCTCCAGTTGGACTATAGGCAGTATATGTCAAAACTTTGCTCTTTCTTTCTCAACAAACTTAACTGAAAACACAACACTTTCTACCTCCCTTCTCTAGCATCTAAATAGGAATTTAAATTCCCCAACTTCTGTAGATAACATATTGTTATTTATCAAACGCCCTCATAAACCACTCGCACATTTCCTCAAAATTATCTGTGCTATAAATAGCACAATTACAAGAAAACTTACAGGAATGATAGGTTGAAGAGGACCCTGCACAAACAAGCTTACAGTCTATAGGTGGTGGGGTATAAAACACATTAGGACAGGAAATAGCGATCAAATAAGGTGGGAGTGAAGCAGAAGGAGACAGTAAAGTGCTGCCCTTTAGGAGAGAGCAAGAGACAGGTATGTGAGGTAGAGGCAGTGGCGGATCCAGGGGGGGGGCAACGGGGCAAATGCCCCCCCCGAGAAATCCGCCGGTCTCCCTCTCCCTCCCCTGCAAGCAGCACATGCAGGTGCTACACCTGCAATGTGCCTGCGGACCGGGGGGAAGATCAGAGATCTCCCTCCCCGGTCCGCAGGCACTGTGCTGGCGGCCGGCTGGGGAGGGAGGGAGTGAGAGAGAGGACCCGGAAGCTAAGGCTGCAGCTCCTCCGGGTCCTCCTCTCGTGAGATTTGAAGCGTTGCCGCGGTTACCACGGCAACGCTCCAAATCTCGCGAGAGTGAACTCTAGCCCTGGAGCGCGGGCTAGAGTTCATTCTCCCCACTGGACCACCAATGAATCGCCCACGGACGACGGACCACCAGGGAAATGTCCCCCCTCCCCCCCAGTAAAGGTAAGAAGGGAGGGGGGACATAATGATTATTTATATTGAATTAAATAAAAAAAATTTTTTAAAAAGCCCCCCTACCCGTATCACACACACACTCTACACACACTGCCCCCCATACACACACACTGCCCCCCCATACACACTGCCCCTCATACACACACTGCCCCCCCATACACACTGCCCCTCATACACACACACTGCCCCCATACACACACACACGCCCCATACACACACTGCCCCCCATACACACACACTGCCCCCATACACACACCTGCCCCCATACACACACACACTGCCCCCCCACACACCCCCCACACACACTGCCCCCCATACACACACACTGCCCCCATACACACACATGCCCCCCCATACACACACACACACACAC